TTGATATATTATTATTTGTTAAATCTCGTTAACTAAGTAATAGCTGAGATATGAAGTTGTAGGTAACAACATTTATACAAAAAACGAAAAAAAGACCATCAAAGTGATGCATCATTTTTGGGGAAAACGTAAGAAATAATTCTAAAAATAGAAAGAGGATCTTAACATGAAATTTCGTCCAAAAATATTTATTATCATATGCAATCGGTTTACAAGTGAATACCATCATGAAAAACGTGAGAAAGTTATAGTATATATCTTGAATATCTGTGTTTGACTTAAACTAGATCACTAGAAGCAAATTTTACCAAATGTTTGTCCGTCTAAATTTCGGCGAGATACATTGAATTTGCAACAAAAGAACGTAACCCTGCCCCCATGACAGGCACACAAATTAATGAGAAGCTGGGCCCTTGGTGCTAGCTCATCGTTTGAGTAACATTTTCCAAATACATTGGTTCTTGATGTTAAATCCTACCAACCCGAAAACAGGATTGGGGAAAGGGAAGCAGGGTTCATCACAGGAAGGAGTCTTGGTTCAATATAGCACATGAAACATGCCCTAGCTATGATGTTTGTGTGTGTGTTTTCTTTTAAGGAGAGAGACGTCCAGGAGAGTATTAACTTTGACCACTGATCTCTTCCACTCTCTCCTTGAAGCATTGTTTAGTCTTGAATCACGTTCATGAATAGACAGAGGACCAGATGCCAACATTATCGCTTTGTACCCCCTTGAAGGATAAATCTTCGCCTTAAGATGTAGACAGACATATATAGTTTAATACATCTTATTTGACTAATTTATTTCAATCATTCAATCGATTTCTCTCTTAAGCTCCTGGCTTTCAATGATTTAGGGAACTTTATTTTCAATATGAGATATTCTTTGATACATTTCTTATGATTTAAGTACTTTGTAATTACCAAAAATCTACTTAGAATTATGAAGAAAATATTCATTCGATCTTGTAATATTAATTATTAATCCTACAATGTTAGTCTTGAATAAATCATCTGTCTTTCCTTTGCTCTACAACACAAAATTTTTGATGCACCGTATGCATATGAAGTTAGGCTGACTATCTGAGGAAAAAATTCTTCTGTCTTGCTAACTACCCATTTGTGACATGACTAGCATATCGTTATAGATTTCAAATTCAAATGCAAAAGCGAGTCCAAAGATGAACAAGCCTGCACAAGTTATTGTACTTGTTGTCCTTACATAACCAATTGAATAAGCCATTAAAACTCTCTATTGGATATTTCAGAAGAACTATTACGGCGGTTAAATTTCCAAAACTTGTGGACTTTTCCTCAAGGTTAAAGATATCATCATGGGTTATATATATCTAACCTAATACATCAATCATAAAATCTAAGTGTGCTGCATGTAACTAAACTTGTAAAAATTAATTCTTCTCAAGAACAAAGGGGAAAAAATAGTTGCGCACATCGAAATGGAGAATTATGAAATGGTGTGGTCGGAGACGAGACGCGCGTGCGCTAATGGTCGTCGTTGACAAACTGCGGTTCCCAACTTGTGCAATGGAGGAATTATCTGTATCCCATTGTCAAAAATAATATAATTGGTACGGAAACGTTTGGCTAAGCGGCTTGAAAATTGAAGCATTTTGTTTTTAGACGTGAGCGGTCTAAGATTCTATTTCCCAAACATCTTTTTCACGTGGAGACCACCGAAATGTACCACAAAACTTTAGAGGGGGGGGGGCCGCGGGGGCGTGATCTCCCCATGTTCCTCGTCTTCAACCTCCCTTGTATCATAGCATTATTCAACGAACACACAATGACAAGACATTTGCTATCATCAGAAAAGTTTGTTAGTATATGTGGCCATGACTTTATAAATCTTGGAAACCAATTATTTCATTTCAACTTGTTTTCATTTCTGTTCACTATTTTCTTCTTTTTTATATAAAAAAAAAAGTAGACTATTACTTTAGTTATTACTGTTTATATTCTATGCCTCGATAATTTTTTCAAGTGATCATCTAGAAGATTGAGCTTTATTCTTTGGGAAAAACTCGTATTTCTAATATGGAATCAATTGTTAGGGTTAGGGTTGAGTTGGCAACTTAGCACGATGTGCTCCTCTGCTTCAATCGTCTGTGACTTGAATTATGGTTTATGTACTAAGATTCACTTAACAAATTGAGGTTTAATTCTCTGACTTGCGAATCTAATAATTACTTGTAGTATATATGTGTTAATTGGTTGTGTGGGTTTTCTTTACTCCTAGTAAAGGAAAAGGAAAAGCTGTCATTTCAGAAGAAAGCTTCGTCTTGTATTCCTCTTTATAAGAAAGAACCAAGTACCCTAATTCTTTTATGGTAACATATGAACCTTGGTGGAAAATTCCAAGATGTAAGGTTCCCGTTCTGGGTAAATTCTTGAACTCTCTGTAATCAAATCAATTAAGTGCTTGCAACACAAATAATTGAAAGTTTGAAACGAATTGCCCCCATCTTTCTCCCCAATCATTCCTGTACCGAAACTGAAATATCATAGCAACCTCCAAATAGTACACAATTGCAATTACTATGTGATATTGAATTCAAAAGTCAGAATGAAAGTGGAGTATAACCATATTTCCAGAAATTAATCTAATTAGGCAGGTACAAGTTATTGTGTTACATCCCGGAGATTTGTTTGACAAATAGAGGGACCTAGAAAAACAAAGCAAGGAAAACGTCACCGCTAATGCTTGCTGCGTGCTACATGCTACACTTCAAATTCATTTAAATTCGTTGGTAATTGTTGGCGCTTAAAGTCCACTTAAAGTTACTTTAAATTAACGCCAGGATGGCAACAAAAACAGGCGTATATAGCCACCCTTTCCAAATTAATGTCTCTTCCTTAATTACAGGTCAAAATCCCAAGTATAAAAGAAAAGGGCTTGTTCATGAACTTTTATCGTTGACCAAAACCAAAAAACAAAAGAGAGTAGAATACTGTCAAATATCGGGGTTAACAGCACATCACATAGCCAGTTTTAGCAGGGGGAAAAGGGCGATGAATGATGAGTAATGTGCGATGAATGTCGAAGCAGATAAAGTTTGATTATAAACGTTGTGGGGTTTGTGTTTTTCCAGATGCAGATGGACGTTTGACCTCTTTGTCCTTTAAGAGAAAGCAAGAGGAGAAGGTGGGTCCCCAGGACAAGAGGCCACAGACGTTTGACATAGAAAGGTAGAGAGAAGAAGGAAGCAGCAGATGAACTAGCACATGAAATATGTGGGCGGCGCCCGTGCCTGGGAACAATGAAATGAACCACCTATAGTTACGGTCCCTTTCTTTCATCGGCATCATAGTTTTGTCACACCTTCGCGCATTTGCCAAACGGGAGATGTACAAAGAACCATAATAATGATTTTGATGATATAGATAACTTTGTTAAATCAATTTGTTTGTACTATGATGTAGTGGGCAAATAACTCAACTGGTTAACATCGTTATTGTACGATTAACATCGTTTTTATTTAAATCATATCGCAAAATCATAATAAAATCATTAATATATAATATAATATAATATTATAAAGTAACAATTTCATATGATTATTTTTATATTTAATAATTAATTATTGACACAATCAACTGATTAAAATTGTGACTATTTGCTGTTTGAAAGTTAAACACAATGACCAATAACAGTAGGTGCATGAGTCAAGTTTCAGGTTTGATCCTTTAGATACCTTTCCTATCTTAGGCAAATTAAAGTTCCAAGTTTAAGGTGATCCATATGAACTTCCCATCAATCAAGATTTAACTCTTTTTTTTATTATTATTGAGATCAAGATTTAACTCTTGTAAAATTATTAACAACCCAAAAAGAAAAAAGTATTGTAAAAGTAATTAAGAAATTGGGAGCTAGTAATTCTTTAAGTGGAGCTTCTTCCAATTCCCTAACTAAATCACGACACAAATAATTATGCAGGGGTATTGATGATATCATCGGGAGACACCCGTTTTCCCCTGAGGGAAGGAGAGAGAATTCATGTTCTAGAAAAGGGTCGGAGAATGGAGATCCCCATTTTTATTTCTATTTTTAATTTTTGGTCGGTTGTAGGTAAATACGAGAAAAAAACAACAAAAGAGAAAGGAAAAGGAGATAGGCAGAGGCTTTCCCACACAGTTGACACGACCATTTTATTTTCTGTTCAAACGAGAAGGAGGCAAACCCAAAAGGAACTGATGCTGGTGGGCGAGAAAGCCGGATTTCTTGTCAATAGTAAAGATTTGCCGCTATGAGAAAGACCGAAGTCTCAAAAAACAAAAAAAAATGCAACACGGGCCGTGTCAGATGTCCCATGCCCACGTTTTTGCCCTTAAGCGTGACAAGGTTGACCCAAGTGTTTCTGACCTACTGTCATCCATGCACGTGACCGAGACTTTACGAGTATGAAATCAAAGATTTCACATTCCTAGAAGTTAGGAGTTCTTTTTTCTTTTTTTCAGATTTGGAATAAGGAATTGAAATTTTGCTTTTTAAATAGGAGATTATTTATTAATTAATTAACCAAATGCTCTAATGTGTCTTAAAAGTTAAGAGTTGAGCGTGTAACACTTCTAATTATTGACGAGAGGTTAAAGTCTCATCCCTACTTAACTTATCTTATGAATTACTTGCGCTTATGAATTCATTTTAAAGAAAACATGGTTTTATGGTCGCAGGAAGAAAAAGGCTAATAATCAAATTTCCGGATAGTGTCAGGCCCTTATCAGAGATATCCGACATAGGGGCATGGCCCAAATTTCGGCAGGAGGAGAAAAGCTTAGATCACAGCGGGACCCATCCTGAATTGAACATTCCGAGGCCTGGTCCATTCAAACATTAAGATGGATTTAATTTAAGGCCCATCAAGGCGCACTGATGGATTTATTAGGCTGAGTTGTCGGTCTGATGCATGGTCCATGGATAACATACCTGCATTTTCCTCTAAAAATTGAAGAATTCGGAGAATCAAAGTTGCAGGTTTAAATTCAACACTTGACTTTGCATTAATATACCCAAATTATTTATATAAATAAGAACACAGCGTTACATTCTTCATCTAATGGCCAATTCATCTTACATTTAAACTAAAGAAAGATACTACTAATTGTAGCTCTTAATTAGGACTACTGCTTGATATGGACCCACGTCCCTTTGCTAGGAATACCTTCATGCACCAAAAATAACTGGTAAAACCCTGGCGGCGCCAATGCCGCTGTTTCAGGCGCATTGCCTTCCACCAAATAGTTACCGGAAGGAGTCTTCTTCACTCCCTCATCCAACGCCAGCACTAGCAACCTTTGGTTCATCGCAATTGAATGTGTAGTAAACGATGGAGCCACCATTGTAACATAAACATCTCCCTGATTAACATTCCCCTCCACTGTGAACTCCAGAGAAACTTTCTCCTTATAACCAAGTTTCAACCCAGGCCTTACGGTAAGGATCGATGGCCGAGGCTTTGTTGAACTCAAATATGGAGGATAAAATGCTTCAAGGCTAAGTTCAGTTGGATAAAGGGCAGAGAAGTTGTAATTCATATTCGGATTGCTGCCACCGACTAAAACTCGACCGTCTGAAAGCAAATGAGCAGTTGAATGATAAAGTCTGGGAATCATAGAAGGACTTAATACCTCAAATCTGGTGTTTTTGTCACTGCTTGGAGTGTCCGCAGGGCGGTATAACACTGGGTTCAGGACAGGTTTTCGTGAAACACCCCAACCAGCACTGCCTTTGGCCGCACCATTTATGATAAGCACATCTCCTGTTGGCAACATGATCATGTCGCCCATCACTCTGTTGATTGGCATTTCCTCCATTTCCCATTGCGGGGACGCCGCTGTAATTATCAACCGGCCGCAAGATTTTGATGCTGGGACAAAGATTCCGATATTAGCCTTTTCGTTTGAGTCCGGGGGTGTCCCACCGCAGATTAAGACCTCAGCATCTTGGGTACTAGTGTTGTTTTCGTTGTCGGTGCTTAAGAGTTTCAAAGGGAGAAGAACAGAGGAACCTGTGCTGGGATAACTGTGAGAAAAGCCACCAGGCATGACAGGATAAGTTCTAATCACCTTGTTGTTCACATAATCAAGTAGAATTCCTCGGTCATTGGCAAAAACAAACAGATTTCCGTCAGTTGAGAGATGTAGAAAGGGGTAGAGGTTGTTGGGGACCAGGGGTGAATATCTTGTTTCTTTTAGGAATGGAAGTTGGTATAGTCGTTGATCAGAACTGGAGGCTTTAGGAATAAATTCATATGTGAACTGGTATCTCCCACCGACGACAATGATCTTCCCATCTGGTAAAATTTGATTAGAAGCATACCATCTTGGTGAAAGAAGACCATTTTTATCCTCTTCCCAGTCGCAATCCATGCATGGCTTGAAGTATCGGACAACTTTTTCTCCAAGTCTGTAACCACCACTTTGTACTAAAGTACCATCCTGTGACAACGCGCCAGAAGAACACCATGTATCTGACAATATAGTGAGTGGCCTAACAGCGCGGGTTGCTGGATCAAACTCGACAGAATGCGCAAAGCAGTCCGAAGATTGCAAGTCCTTTATGCACTTTCCTTGCGGAAGAGTAATGTTGGAAGGACCGAAATCCGTTCTGTCAAAAGTGACGATTCGCTCATTTGGTAGCAGTGCCATGTGCATTGCTGAAATTCCGATGCTCCTCTTCAACAGTTTCCATTTTCCTTGGTAAGGTTGGGCGCAGAGTGCCAGATTGAAGAGTACTGACGAGTAACTTACCAGGAGTAGGAATACCAAGATTTTAGGCTCCATTGCTGCTTTGCTCATTGCAAATATAGTGCTATTCGAAAGCATATAACTATGAGGACCCGACATGAATTGCTCGAGTACTGTTTTGCATGTTATATGCTCACAGAAAAGACAAGTCAATGACTGGAAAACTTTTTTTTGGTCATGTGGCCTTTTCCTGCAGTTTCTTTAGCCCATACACCAGATAATTTAACATTCAATCTGGCTTCTGATTGGTTATGTTGAGCCATTGGACTGTGAAAAGACTACATCTTAGCTGTACCACAATGCTCATGGTCAGTTTGGATCACTCTAAAACACTTCAAAGGTAATAAATGCATGAACTACCAAAGGTTTCTGTTTTAAAGAAGCATTTATGTCTTTATGCAAATCAGTAAATCTGCTTGTAACTTCGTGCTCTTTCGAAAGCTGGTAAATCTGTAATGTTTCTCTTGAAAAAAAATAGGAAAATGTTACTACAAGGTACTTGGACAATTTCTACACATCTACCCTCTGGGCTGGTTGGCGCAGCATTATAGGTAAAGATGATGGGGTATGCATAGGTTAATAGCAAGGGACAGGTTACTCGCGACGATGATGGGGTATGCATAGGTTAATAGCAAGGGACAGGTTACTCGCGACGATGATGGTGAAGATAATGCCAATGTTGACGCAAGAATATCATCAGCACAAATTATTTGATGCCAAAATCACCGATCAATTAGCTTAGAATATGAATAACCCCCATTTCCATGTATACCTGCTTCAGTTATTGGCAGGAATGGTCGATAAACCAGCTAGTTAAACTATGAAAACACAAATGCATAAAGCACACCTTAGCTTTCAGTCTCTTTCTCTGTGGTATAAATGTTTACAAGAACTCCCACCAAATCGTTTTGTTTCAGTAGAATGCAGTGGGTGGATTGCAATTGTTAATTAAGGACATCAAACAATGGGTTGACATCAATATTAACCTATCTTGGAAATAGACAAAACTCTTAAAAGAAGCTTAAATTAATTAACAAGGCCAACCGCCATCAATTTACAAACATTTGTAATTATTCCACCTTGGATTGAAAGAAGTGTGGTATAATCATTATCACTACGCTAGGGATGGAAATTCATGCTTTTTATAGCTACGTTGGGATTGTGGACCCACAAGAAGATTCAACTTTTTACCCCCAAAAGAGGAATAGAAGGAGGCCTCTGTAATGCTGATATGAATTGTCGGTCGAGAAAGTGGTTTCCGTTTAAATCAACATTTTCTTTTTATATTTAGAATCAAGTGAAGTGATAACTGATAAGTGTGACATCCTAATTCCCAACTTTAAATTTGGAGTTGGGACTCTTTTATCTCTGGGTAATGTGAAGTGGCAAATTCTGTCCATATGTCCGAAATTATGGACCCAGCATTTGCATTTGAATGGAACTTGAGTTGGTTCGCTGGTGGCTGGCTTTGCTTAAAGGCCTGCCAAGCCTCAAAACAGGAAAGGTAATTTATGGACGACAGCTTGAATGCAATATTCTTCGGCTAAATTTAGCATCCAAATTAAACTTGAACTACCCGTGAAGATCCACAAAAATATTGGAACCAAGCTGTAACAAATGCATGGACAGCTAAGCTATATTCTGTTAGTTTGTAACACTAACAAATTCTGGTTTTGAAACGATTTAGCCCACTCAGGTACTCCAATATTATCAACAGCCTGTCCTGTCGTATTTAAGATGAAGATGATCCGTAGCTCAAGCAGCTTTATTGGATCCAACAACAGAATCTAACCCATGTTCGTTACAAACCCAAAGGCCCACATCGCTCCCGAATATTTTAATGGCTCAATATTTATTTCCAAAGTAAAAGCAGAAACAATCTGGAACGATGTAACATCCTGCTAGAAAAGGAAAACAAATTGCAAAGAATTAATGATAATAAAAGCTATACTGCAATCCTCAATTTTTACAGAGTTCCTCATTTACATCATCTGCTGCGACATGCTGCTAAAAAAAAAAAAATTCTGCAAGACTCCCTCCTTGGACTTCCTTACCCTTACTTCTAAACGAAATGAAGATAAGACACTCAAAGCAGTCCTAAGTACCCGTTACCTCCTTATATAAATTGATTATATATATATATATATATATATGAAGAATAGTTTCAACTCAGAAACAAATCAAATCATTACATTTTTATTTCACAAAAGAAAAAGGAAGATTATTTCATGCGGGTGCTAATCAGATTGGTGTGATTGTCTGTCTAAGATATTCAGATGTAGGAATTTCAATGTAAGTGTTGTGATCTTATAGGCCAGGCCCACGACGTGACAACAGCTCTGAATGTGGTCGTGCCGATTTTGAAATCAACCACTTTTCTTGGTCCAATTCGATGCAAGTTGTGCTAGACCCGTCAATAGCTTTGCATTGGCCCCCACACGGAAATTCATTGGTCTGTGGTACATTGATGCTGCAACTGCTGCACATACATGTAATTCTTGGTGTTTCTCCAGATAGACCCCTCCGCCCCCTACAAATTCTGCAAAACTATACCATGTTTGCAGGGGCGATAGGAAATTGCATTGTTCCTTGCTTGCAACACTAGATCAATGATTCTTCAAGCCATATTATTTGGACTGACACTGCCATTATATGCACTCATCAGAGCAATATTCCTGGCAAGTATAGCCCAAGACCTTATGTATCAACTATCAATCATATAGGGTTAACATAGGCGACGAGGTGATTGAAGTGATCAACACCCCAGCTGGATCTTAAAGAGTACCTTCTAAGAATACAATTAAATACCATCTCATATTGGAAAACTTTTCCCCTAACCAAAGGGCAAAAGTTAAGAGAAGTTAATGTCAAGTTAGCTTATTCTTATCTTATCTATGGTTGTAACCTGTGTTACATGTGCTGAATAGTACAAAATACCTGTGGCTGTAACGCACTTATCCGTTCAGAAATCATGGTAAGACAAAACTGTTCTCGTCCTGGTCAGAGTAATCGCTCCTGACTCCACTATTCTACTGGCGTATTATATCTGAGATGTGCGCAGAAGACTAAAAAGAGTACATCTCTTTCATTCATTTCCCTTCTCACATGGTGTTAACCAGAGAGTGCCTCTCTTTCATGGATTTCCCTCATCACTCCATTCTTGTTTTGGATAGCTGATCAATGGAATCTTGTTAACATAAATACATGTTAAAACCACTATATATCTTTAAGTAACTAACATTGACATAAATTTATCCACTGGCAGTGTGTGAAAATCACCGCTCGAGATCAATTATTTGATTAAATATTAAAACTTTTATTTAAAAAATATGTTCATCCAATAGTCAATGCATAGAAAATCAGCACATTTACAATCAATTTATACGTTGTATTTGTACTAAAGGAAAATACTAAAAGATCCCAAACAAAAAAAAGAAAAACCTGTCTATTCTCTGAATAATCGACATTAAACTTATTAAGGAAACTTAGAGCAGTAGTTAATGCTTACGTCTTTAAACTGGCACGTCATTAACAACTTGAATACTGTTTTAACTAGCAAATACTAAGTTGGCACTCTATCCAATGATTAAATTGCCTGTTGAAGACTAGCACACGATACTACAGTCTACAGCCATCTTAAGCTTAAGAAATAAGTTTTCCTCATTAACTTGCCATATTGATAGCCAATAGTTTGAAGCTTTGCCACTTGAATATATATAACAAGTGCTTCGCTTGTAAACATGATACAAATGATGAAAGACAAATTATCCTAATTTTGTTCAGGGGTCACAGACTCCCTAACAAAACAAACATATTTCATCATGCTTGGAAACGTGGTCTTGATTAAGTAATTTTAAAAGAATATATCTGCAATACTCGAGTTATATCGCATATTATAATGTTGATAGAATAATTTGATTCCATTAAGAGATATAAAATGAGAAAAAGAAATTGCAGTTTTATCAGGGTGGAGCATTTCTACGAGCGACACTTTATAATGGCACTATATAGACTACTATAATAGATATTGTGGCTTCAAAAGAGTCTTTGGTTTTGCTTTGCAAATGCAAAAGAGATCAAGAACAGATGCCAGGGGGGTTGGGGTTGCAACACTTAAGCTGACAATTATGTACTAGATTCCTAACTAGATTGTGGAATAGCAAACAGAAAAAAAAAAAAAACCTTGGGTTTAAATTCTTAGAGCTTTACTTTAACGGATACTACATGGGTAGTCCATAAATATTAATCACAGTCAGTTTAAAGAGGAATCCATGGCGTCAATGCTGATGTTGACTCAACTGTATAATATACTAGCAAATATGAGAGAGAGAACGAGAGAGTCAGACCATTAAAGGCATTCAGTGTTGCATATGCCTCAGCTTCAGAAATTGATGACAGAATGAGGCATAACATACACAAAAGCAAGCAGCTTGCATAGACCCATCACGGTTGTCCTGTTGATGACGCTTCTCTTTCATTCACCTTTTCAATCACCTGTTTTACTTTCTCTATTTCACTTCTGTATGGTCTCTGTTGCCCCTGCCTGATCAACTACACAAAGCTCACCATCTAAGAAAAACCATTAATTAACATAACATCAACACACCAAAGGCCACCTCATCTTTTTCCTTTCTGCATATTGTTTTCTCTTCTGAAAACCTCTAAAATCAATGCCATGTATTTAAAGATGAAACACGTGAAACCCTGGTGATTCTGTGTGTTAGGAGTAATTATACGTCGGTCAACAAGAACTATAAACAAATATGAAAAAGAAAAAGAAACAAAGAAAACCCTTTGAGGTTAATCCTCATTGTATGTTTGGAATGACATAAAGGAGAGAAGCCATGGGGGTTTTCTGTTTTAAACTGCAAGCAGATAATGTAAAAGACAAGACCACATGGTTCAAGCAAAACTCAGAGGTCCAATCTATCACATCATTCCTTTTTTGTAGCAGATGAGTCCCAGAATTCCAAAACTGGTTTATAATGCTAAACTCAAACCGCATAATTTATGAAAAGTGCTTCATTCATAATGCTAACTCAGTGGCATAGTTTTGCAAGTGGTTTTGATTCTCGAATACTGCCCAATAGTCACAAATCTCTCTTTTTTTGAAA